CGTCGGCTGATCGATCGAGACTTCGCTCTGGAGGACCCAGAGGTAGTCATGTTGCTGACCGCCCTGATCAACATCTTGGGGCACGACAACCGTGGGGACCGCCCCACGGAAGTCCTGTTGATGGCAGCATATGGAGAAAGAGGAGTACTAGACCGCCCGAACATGAGAGTGATGAGGTGGAGAAACGGGGCTCTCTCAGGGAGTGACTTGGCGAATGAGCCTGGATTGGGAAGTTCTAGGACTTACCAACCAGGTGAGATGCCAATGCCCTCTAAGCCTAAACCTGGGCTGACGAGAATGCATCGGGAGATGAACAGCGAGACGACCTCGTCTGGTTCACCACTGAGAGCAGCTGTGCCACCAAAAAGGGGCGAAAGTAACACAGAAGGTTCAGACGAACCAAACCATACAAGATCTGGACGAGATGAATGATCAGCTGAGAAGTACGAAGAAGGAGCTGGACGAGATGACCAGAAGCATGCTCCAGATGGAGGAAGATCGGGACATGTGGAGAAAGTTGTTTGAAGACTGCAACAAAAAGCAGGGTCAAGAGATCGAGCGCTTAAGGCAGGAATACAAAGAGCGATCGGAGCAGGCGGTGTTGCTAAGATTCTGGACGTCCAGAATTGTAACGATTAAGAGCGTTAACAATCCACAGGCCAAATTGGGACTGGTCTTGGAAGAAGAGGTGACTGCACCTTCAGTACCAAAATCCGACAAAAGAGTGGAGTTTGGGTTGGGATTCTCAGATGAATTACTGAGAACGAGCTTGATGACAGTGTGGGAATTGATGAGGCCATCATGGTGTCCTAGTCCCAACGCTGACTCAACATTACGGGCGACACAAGACGTACAGAGGGAACTGAATGCAGACTGTAACCTGCGTGACCTCAACATCATATATAATGTGATGATAACAGCCTCTAAGAGCAACGGAGAAGATAAAGTGGAGTTGCCTGGCTGGGGACCAGAAGACTGGGTCAAACCTGGTAGCTGTCTGGCGGAAGTCTGTGGACTGGAGGGTCATGTTTGTGGAGGTCTAGACTGTGTGAAAACCCTGGAGAAACAACACAAGCAATTGACAGTATTGTTTGGAAATGTAGTGATGAAAGCAAGAACGGAGACGGAACTGATAGCAGATTGCCATGGAGGAACCGATGTGAATCTAGTGACTGCACTAGGATTCTACAACATGTTTGGTACTTTAGAGTCACTATTGAATCTAGAACAGAAACATGAGATGGTCACAGCCATCAGCGTAGAAGTATTCCCAGGAGTTCTGCAGACTGAGCAGAAGTATATAGGAAAATGGAGGGAAGCAATCGAGATAGAAATGAACATCAGACACAGTGAGACTTATTGTAGACCATCAGGAGCACGATATTTGGTGGGTTCAACGTTGGCTCCAATGTGCAAGAGCAGATACCCTGTACATTTCGTGGCTGTGGACGTGAAGAGTACAAGAACGATCGTGGATCAAGCCTTCTCAGTGCCAAAGTGTGTGAGATTGGCGAGAATGTCTGAAAAATCTTACGAGTTACTATGTAAGATGTTCTCAGCAGTTCCAGAGAGAACCAAAGAGGAGTTGGAGTCAATACTAGGAAAGAAGTTCATGGGATATGTGAGCGGGAACTTCAGTGACTTTGAGAAACAGAAACAGAGAGGATCAACTGCCACATATTACAATGCAGTAGATGAGAATGATGAAATCCACCGAGTGATGATGGAAGTGGAACCATTGCTGGAAGCTTCGGGAAGACGTAATTGGAGGAGCATCATGTTGACACATGACGAGTTTCCTTGCCACTGCTTGCTGCAGACCTGGTGGTATCCCAAGCGTAGTAATCTGATGTTGATCTGGGACTCTGGAGAGCTGCTCTCCATGGGTTTACCAGATTCATCACAGCCCGTAACAATAGTGATAGTGGGAGTTATGATGGCGATACGATGGCTGGAAGCTCATGTGAGAGAAAATAATAGACAGGAGGCACCAACGAGAGAACAATTGCGGAAATTAGATTGTCTAAAAGATTTAGATCTTTTTGAGACAATGTGCAAAGTTCTAAACATTCCGATGGAAGTGTAGAAGATATGGGCGAGAAAACGATTGATGCCATGGTTCAGAGCTAACATGACTGCGTGGTTGTACGAGTATGCGAAAAAGCATATGTCGAAGCATGGCAGAGTGTACAGTGAATATCAGCTGCACATTGGAGCAGGAGCTTTCAAGCGAGCTCTCGTGACTCATCGGAATGCAGTGACCATCGCTGTGAAAAGAATTTCTAGGACGAGTGAGCGTAGTGGAAATGAGAAGGCAGAGATGCTGAAAGAAGATTTGGAGAGAAACGTGACGTTGTGTCTCCACAACAGTTTCTGCAGAAACAGAGAATCCAACGTGGATCCCCTACCTTGCTGTAAACAGAGGGTAGAAGAGCAGAAGTGTTGGAGGACGGCTTCCAACAGCGTCAGGATAGCCAACGACGTGCTACAAGACACGGAAACCGAAAGTGCGAAGTCAGTATCACAGGAGGAAGAAATGGAACATTGATGAATGGTCGAGAAAACAAGAGGCAACAAGAAAGAAAATTAGAAGAATTTAGAAGTTTCAGAACTTCTAAACGACGAAAAAAGAAGAGAACAAAGGAGTGATGAAGAAAACTTAAAACTCAGATTTGTTTTATGTGTGTGAAAAACTCAAGTGAGAAACCAAGCAACCAAGTTGTAATTGAAAACTGAAACATTTAGTTGAGTTTTGAAATTGTTTTTTTTTATATATATATTTGCATTTTGATTTTAGTTGAAGTGTCTTTAGAGACACTTATTATTTATTTAGAAAGGCTTAAGAGGAAAGTATATTTAAATATTCCAGCCTGCATGATTGTTTTTAATCACTTAGGAAGACTGATCACTTTGTGGTGACTTGAGAGACTTGAGTAATCTCTTGAAGAGGGAGGTTGTTACATTGTTCTTTCTAACGACAAAGTTTCTTAGTTTTAATATTACAGGACAATAACAAGCAAGATTTCCGAAGGGAAGAGCATAGTAGGATAATTTTAGCTTGTTGGTTGGCAGGACTGTCCTGCAAGCCAACACCTTTTAAATCTAAGAGAAAAAGTTTTAATCGGGACATTGACACTGGAAGTCAGAAAATATGTTTTATCTTAGGTCATATCCTCAATGTGCAGATTAATGAGAGAATTTGAAGGCTATAGTGATGTAGTATGATGCCATTTATATTCTGCAGTGAGTCGATGTGACGTGGATAAAAGTAATTTCGTGCATTTTGTAAATTCTGTTCGATGACACTGTAACGATTTTACGAACATTGCGCGATTCAATGAGGACATTGACCGGACTGTCCGGGGAGTATGTGGCATTCGACCAGAATGGCCAAAATGCAATTTGTGCAGACTTCGAATTTTTAGCAGTAAGCCTTCCGGATTGGTGGATATTAAGAACTAAGAACGTTATTGGAACGATTGTCCAAACGGTGAGGGCTGGAATATTTTAGTATTTTTAAATTTCAAAAATTCGAATTATGACGTCATATTTCTGAGAAACGTCAGAAACGGCCATTTTGGCTAAAAAACGAGAAAAAAACAAGAACAACTTTATCTGCGACAGCGAACAGGACGAAAATCGAGATTAAAAACGACAACGAACTACAGAATAGCAGAGGACGTTACGAGTTGCAACTATTGTGCTGCTACAATAGTTGCAAGGCCGTTGCGAGCAACGGTGAAGGGTAAGAAACCAGCCTTCCGGAATAGGAGGAAATCAAGATTTACGAGCTTGATTCAGCGGATTCGTCAATCCGGAAGGGTAAAGGAACTGAAACTTTTATCCTGCCCTGTAAACTTTTAGCATCCTGTCATGTCCTGACTTGAATTTAATTGATATTTGGATTAGTTTTGACAAGGATGAGGTGCTAGGAGTTGGGGGGGAGAGGGTTGATCCATCTTCGATGGAGATGATGATTTTTATCTACTGAACAAAAACAATAGTAATATAATAAGTAGTAACCCTGTTTTTAGGAGTGACCTCGTGGTCTGGGGATACTGAGACCCAGCCATGAGCTCACTATTTGCATGTAATTAAGTTAATTTGAGCGTTCTGGTCGAAGCCGGAGAGCAGTAACGTTTTTGTCGACCCGATGTTAGAAAGACCACCGAAAAGTACTGGCTTGGTAGAGACGGTGAAAAGCATGCAAAGCTCTGTTTAGACGTTAGCCAGTCGTCTTAAGACTTAGTTTTGTTATCCGTCGATATGTATCTTCCGGGCGAATGTTACATGCGTTGAGCCAGTCACTCGCACCAGTACATGCAGTTCTATGTAGTCTGGCGGCGTTGTTGTCGATTGCATCTTGGGGAAACTGGCTTATCTGTTTTTCTGTGACGTTGTCGTATATTTCGCTCCGACAGTAAGGGCGTCCGTTATTATATCAGCTTGAGAAAAAAACATTGACCTGCTGTGCTAAATCTTGGAAAGATGAAGGAAATGACATAACAGCTAGTTTCATGGGCGGCAAGATTCCTAAGCCATCTGATCGGGCTTATAAGGAAGCTTGTTGCCAGACAGCTACGTTCATCTTGATGATGATGATGTTTTCTAGTACATTAATGAGTGTGTCTTCAAGTGTTTGAAGGAGATCTGTTCTTCGGTAGACTTCTGATGTTCGGAAGAAGTACATCAATTTAGGGATTAGAAAACAATTCTTCCACAAGATCAAAGCACAATGTGATGATACATATTTCAATCGTTCTTTCATCGCAAGTACGACTTTCAGCTGCGCGTTGAAAATTATTTCAAGCGAGGTCGGTCCTAAAGCTGAGCCAAGAAGCTCCAGGTTTGAGCCCTCCACGGTCTTAATTCTAGGGCAAATCAACCTGAACTGATGGTTAATCTGGTGAGTAACCCGTCCTCAGAACTGAAGAAGATTATTTCACATTTTTCTTCGTTCAAAGACAAGGCAACCGTCTCGATTTAGCCTAATTGTTGTGATAAACTTATTAAATAGTTTCCGGTTTGATATGTCTCAAGCAAAAGCTACTAGATGTGGACCATGCAACAAAACAGTGAAGGACAACGACTCAACTGCTATAGGATGTGAAAAGTGCAGCGCGTGGTTCCATGGGCAATGTGTTGGATTGTCTCCTGATGATGTAGCTACAATGGGCAAAATTCGAGGATGCTTCTGGCTGTGCTCTGGCTGCCTTGAGGGGAACATCTTCACATCCCAAGCTAAGTTTGAACTGATTATTCAAAGACAAGAAAGCTTAATCGAAATTACAAAAAGCATTAAAGAAACTGTTGAAAATGTTGATCCAACCAAGACAACATCATCGAATGTACCGGTTAATAGTCGTATTAATAACAGTCACCGGGCCAACACATGTGAAAACGAGATAATCATCGACGGGGTCTGCGAAGACAACGGACAGTTTACATCCAATATAGAGGCCGAAGAAGCCAAAGTGGCCGAAATTTTTGATCATATAGGCGAAGAAAATCTCAGTATCTGCCAAATGTATAGACTTGGTAAAGCTAATCCCCAACAACGAAGACCGCGTCCTTTACTTGTTCGTCTGTCATCCGAATGGAATGCTAGAAAATGCCTGGCAAAATCTTACAAACTGAAGAATTTCAAAGAAAAGATTTTCATATCGAAGTCCCTGAACCAAGAAGAACAGATTCTGAAACGTAAAATCTTCAAGAAACGGTACGACATGATTAACAATGAAAAAGTTCCACGCGATGAGCTAAAAATTCGTGGTCTGACCCTCGAACGAAATGGTATCAAGATCAATCTTGACTGACTACAATCAAAGTTATGCCTTATCAACGCACAAAGTCTCTTGAGCATAAATCAGCGTCTGAAGTTAATCAATTTTCTTTCTTTACATTCTCCTGATATCGTGTTCATTACTGAAACATGGCTTAAACCAGAAGTTACTGATCCCGAAATTTTTCCTATGAATTCTCCCTATTCGGTTATTGCTCGAAAAGACCGCACTTCTGGAGAACACGGAGGTGTTCTCATTGCTACAAAAAGGAGTTTTGCTCTAAATTATTCAACTCTATCATACGATGCAGATTACTGCATCGGACTTTCAATATATTCGGGTGCAGTTAATCATATTTTCCTCCTTATTTACAACCCCCCCGCTTCGTCGCAGTTTCGGATACCTGCCAAAATGCTTACTGATTCAATACGTTATTTTAACTCCAAATTGATTAATGGTTCTAGTTCGTACACAATCTTAGGTGACCTAAATCTGCCTGATATCTGTTGGGCATCTTCTGATGGTGGCTGTGATTACTCGAAACTGTTCCTAGAGGTTATTGAGGATCATAGCTTAATGCCCCTTATATATGAACCCACACATCGCTCAGGCAACACTCTTGATATCATTTTAACTTCGCACACAGAATTGTTCACTGCATTTGTAAATGAAGTGCTTTACTCAGACCATTTTCCTTTATTTGCTTTTTTTACCATCCCTGAAGCAGCGCCTACTGTGAGTGGGAATTTTATGAAAACCTCTCTATCTAAATCATCTTTTTCTCATTCGATCTTCAATACTAACATCAGCCCTTGCTTTACCAAACTCATTGTGGAACAAAACTCATGTTATTCCATATCCACCACTAATGATTATGTAGATAGCTGGTACGCTCAGATCAATCATGCAATTCTTTCATCATGCGCACAGAAAACTAAAAGACGCCAGCAACTTCCCTATTATTATTCGTCGCATACAGTTCATTTACTGAATAAGCATCATTCCATATCTAAACGGACAGCCAACACAAATCATTTAGCTTCGATCCAACAAGACCTTAACAATTCAATCGAATTGGATAAAACTTGTCTCCTTGAATCTTTAAGACCAAATTCTACCCGTGATTGCTTTAAATACCTTCGATCTTTTACCAGAAGGAAACTACCAAACCAAATGCACTGGATGAATAGAAAAGCATCCACTTCTATTGAAATAGCCATTCTTTTGAACGATTACTTCTGTTCAGTGCTTCTAGAAAAGCATGAAATTCAAATCTTACAACCCGAAAAACCCACCATTTTTCTATCCGATCTCCATGTCAACCTTAAAAAGGTCGAGAAAGCTCTCAAATTTGCTAAAACTTCTTGTATTACCAACGACCGCCTCCCAACCTTTATTCTTAACTACTGCAGTGAATTAATATCTCCTCTAGTCGTGCAGCTCTTTGTCAAGGTTTTGGAAACTAAAACGTGGCCAGAACTTTGGAAATGTGCGTTTATTACGCCAGTTCTTAAATCTAGTAATCCCGAAAATGTTGAAAATTATCGCCCGATTAGCATATTGCCTCAATTATCGATTGTTCTGGAGAGAATGATCTTCGATTTCATTTATCCTAAAATTCGGGCTAAAGTTACACCTGCTCAACATGGTTTTATGACCAAGCGATCGACTGTTACTCAGCTTCTTGAATACCTAGATCAGATTTATAACGACGTCGAGGCAAAAAGCGAATGTCTTTCTGTGTACTTCGATTTTCGCAAGGCTTTTGATCAAGTTCCTCATCATATACTTATTTTGAAACTTGGTAATTTAGGCTTTGACGTTAGCTTTCTTGAACTTTTTGCTTCCTATCTCACAAACCGCACGCAAAATGTCTTAATTAACAATGAAGCATCTCCAAAAGGCCATGTAACAAGTGGTGTTCCGCAAGGAAGTGTACTCGGCCCTTTACTATTTATACTCTTCATTAATGATATGCCAGCTGTCTTGAAAACCTCTAAATGTTTTCTGTTTGCTGATGACAGCAAACTCTATTCAAAATATGACTTTTCCTTAGTTCAAATAGACATTGATCTATTTATCAATTGGACGCTTGAAAACGAAATGACATTTAATTCTGATAAATGCAAAGTTATTTGTTTTAACTCAACTTCCCCCAAATCTACACTTTGCCTTAATGATTACCCAATTCCGTCAGTTTCATCTATCAAAGATCTCGGAGTAACGATATCTAGTGATTTAAAGTGGGACATCCACATTAAAACCAAACTGGTTGCAGTTAACAAAGCTTTCCATTTCTTGAAACGTTCAATCCCTTATGGAGTATCCATGAGAACCAAATTCAAATATTACCAGCTATGTATTGTGAGTATTTTATTATACGGTAGTCAGGTCTGGTTTCCATCTTTAACATATCGCCGCAAACTAGAATTATTTAACAGAAAATGTTTGAAATGGGTAACGGGAGTCAACGACTATACAGAACAACTTAGAAAAACGAATTCCTTGCCAATTTCCTTCACTATAGCTTTACATGATATGTGTTTTCTTAATCGAGTCCTGACTGATCAATTTGATTTCAACCTTTACAGATACATAAATTTTACCTTTGCAGCCAAAGACCTTCGCAATAGCTCACGCCCTAAGCTTTCAACAACCCAGAATTGTCGACTCTTCTTTACAGAGCAATTTTTCTTCTATCGCGTCTGTCGGTATGCCAACATGATTTCAGCAAACAACATAGCCGACATTTTCTCATCGCCTGAAATTTTCAAAGCAAAATTGAAAATCTATCTGAAAAATAGAATTGATATGTTCAACTTAAACAACTCTTGTTCAATGCTACTTTGTTGCCATTGCATAAATTGCCGTTCGTGATGTCTTGTGTACATAATCATACCATTTCTTTTGTTTGATGCCTTTATATTTTAAAGGGAATAAATTCTTTTAGTAGTAGTAGTAGTAGATCTCATCAATGACAAGACGGAGATCCTGGAGCACAGTTTTCTAGTCGTCACCTTAGTTATGTCGTCAACACAGCTAGCGGATCCCCTTGTTAGAATCCCTCTTCGGGGACAATACCGGTTTTCATTGAGGGTGAATCCGATCATTTGTTCCTGGTCGGGGTAAATGTTTTGTTCAACTAGAGTTAAATGACCGAAACCGGTTTTGAAATCATTTTTACGAGTTAACATCTGAATATGCGCTTAGCTGTGTCCACAAAATTATTTATATCCATTTTTTTAGTTGCTAACATATTCCCATTTTTGATGCAAAACTGCAGATTGGTCTGCTATTTGATAGCCGCGCGCGATCATAAGTTATCATGGGTTGTCTTTTACCGTTTTAGAACGCCACCGGCATATCTCAAGAAATGATTTCATTTTTTGGATAATTGACTGTTTTGCTTCAGTTCGCTGCCAGACGATCAATAACACCAGACTGCTTTTCTGGCATCATCATCTAACTTATTGCTTAATATGTTTCCCAGATCTATAATTTTCCAAGGGCTACACCATGGAGAACGAGTACTGTAATTTTAGTTACCGTGTAAGCCATTGACCTGATTATTTAAAAGTCAATAGGTGTGGTAGGTTTATTCATTTATTTTACAAGCCGGGGGGCTAGAACGAAAAAACTCAAAATTTTTGGTGCGGAGTCGGATCAGGTTAAACCCACTAAGCCTAGTATCGGTGCGTTTTTGTAATTGACCCTCAAAAATACCCGACCTGAGAAAATCGAAAACTATTGCGAATTAGGATAAATAGAGGTCATATATGGACTCTCGAGAGCATTTACACCAATCCCTATGTTTTTTTATCCTTTTGCGGCTTTTGATTAAAAAAATATTGGGGTCATTTTTGGTTGAATTTAAGAAAAATGAAGTTGGGTTTAGCCGAGTTCGCATTGAAAAATTGTTTTTTTTTTCATCAATTAAGAGATTGGGACAGCTAGTATATGGTCTCTAGTTTCCAAAAATATCAATTGGGGCCAACTTTTATCATTTTAAGGCAAAAAAAACTTATTCGAAAATGGGTGCGTATTTGGTCATTTTTGGGGTTAAGCTCAATTTTTCATAAAGTGTCGAAGTCAATCAATTGCTTTGAGTATGTTCTATACATGATTTTCGAGTGTCGTTTGGGTCAGTAGGTTGTGCTAAACTGTTTTTTTGTTTTTGAAACAGAAAAAATACTAAAAAATGCAATTTTTTGGTTTTTTTTAAACCGAAAAAAAT